TTATAGGCGCTTTCCGGTATGGCTTTGAGTTCCCTCTGCGAATTCTGTTTTACGTCTTCTATGGATTCAAAACGCGTTCCTCTGAGTGGTAATTTGAGGTTGGGAAACAGGAAAAAGTCACACGGTGCAAGATCAGGTGAATACGGTGGCTGTTCGATGGTATTTATTGAATGTTTGGCCTTAAAATCGTTGATAATGTTGAACAAATTGAGGTGAATCGGAACAAGCCGGGCGTTGACACGTCGCATACACAAATTGTCCACCAAAATCAAACGAGCCATCTCACGACCGATGCCTAGCTCTCGTGCTATCTCTCTAACACTCACATGAGGATTTTTGAACACGATTTCCTTTGCCTTTTCAATGTTTTCGTCGGTGGTAGAGGTCGAAGGTCGTCCAGAACGCGGCATGTCTTCGACGGTCGTACGACAGTCCTGAAAGGCTTTGTACCACTCATAAACTTGAGTTTTCGATAAAACTGATTCCCCATAAGCCTTTTGTAGCATTCGCAACGATTCTGCACACGAAATTTCGTTCGAAACACAAAATTTGATGCAAACTCTTTGTTCAATATTTTTTTCCATTGTTTTTTTCGCAACGCACTACTGAGGTGAACTGGTTTCAACAGCTGCCGTAAACGAACTGTCTGACAGATCGCGCTCATTTTTGGCATAGTAATTAAGGACAGTGCTGCCAAACTACATAAACTTAAAATATCGAAAAATATACAGCGCGCGAATTTTAAATGAGAATTTCCGAAAACTTTTCGGTCACAATGTATGTTCGCACATTTTTCTGTAGTTTTTGTTAATTTGCTGTGTTCATAATAGAATAAAATCATAAACTACCCGTTGAATAATTGAATTAATTAATAATATTTAGATTAGTTAAAACTTCAACTATATCAAAACAAATATCATAAAAAGTATGAATAAAAAAAATAATTTTTTTACTGTAAGCTTAATTTAAAACTTTATAAAAACTTAATTTTATTATTAATATTTTATTTGACCGGTTTGTTATAAGTGTTCTTAAGTCTTATCTATACTAATCTACTCTTTTTGTTGGAAATAACATAAAAATTTAACAAATACATATACTTTATATTTATAAACAATTCTATCACGGGAATATTACTGGTTATATACATTTTTAATTGTTTGGTACTTTTCACACTAATAATTTGGTTTCAAATTTATTTATATCTAAAACATGCACCTATATAATAACAAAACAGGTTCTATTTTTACCAAATTATTTTATCTATTTATTATAAATAAATTTATTATTTTATAGAAAATTATCACTTATAGTATATAATAATGAATTTAAAAAACATTAATACTTGGCATAGCTATAAAAGAAAATTAAAATAATTTGGTTGTAATTAAATAATTAGAAAAAGTCATTACAAAACCTGTATATCAGTTTTCAAATAACACATTAGAAACACTCAATATACAACTTTATGAACTTAAGATTATCACACCATATAATCGTTTAAATATTGAACATTTTCAGGGAACACGTCAATAGAGATAAAGTATTATTAGCGAAAACTCTTATAACTTTTAATAATAGAACTTTTTTTTTAATCAAATTGAAAGAGATAACATAAGAAATGCATTTTTAAAAAAATTGTGCCTTAGATAAGACATAAATACTTAACAAAGACTTGGCACACAATTTCATTATTCAAAAAATTGCAAAAATAAAGTTTATACTTAAAAAAAATAATTAAGTCACACATGACAATAATTTCGTTAAAACAACACAATTGCAAAAAAATTATATATATATTGCAATATATCTTCTAACAAAATAAAATCAGTTTTGGAACATAATCAGGAAACATAATGAACATATGTTGTGGAGCAATATTCTCTTCGATGAACTTGAGTTCACGTAAATGAAATATAAAAGCGAAAAACAGTCGACTGAATTTTTCGTATGCGGTAGTGAAATAATTTTTGTGAATATAGTTAGTAATAAATCACTACATATCTTTGGACAATGCCTAGCTTTACACATTACAGAAAAAATGCCACCAACATAACTTGATCCACTAATCAGACAATTATATCGATCTAGAAAAGAATATTCTTCAGAAAATGTGCTATAGAAGGGATAATATACAGTAATCCAACAAAATATGCAGTACCACAGATAGTTAATGCCCGAATCTGTTTAATTATAATAAAAATATATACAATATATCAAATGAGCTAATAAGAGCCCCTATGTTCTTCTGGGAGCTGAGAATAAGAGAGAAAGAGAGAGAAATAAGCTTCTATCGAAATTATTAATATAAGTCTATACTTAAACTTAAATGTATTTAATACATCTATTAAATTCTTTAATCTGATGAAGTTATTATATTTTTGGACCGAAATAATTGTTAATAATAAAATATTATGTCACTATATTAGTACACTACTATTAAAACATATTTTCGGTTTCTTGTTTCAAACACATGTTTTTGTGACGAAAACACTTTTTAAAACAAATTTTGACAATTATTGAGATAATGTCATGACTAGTGAAATAAAAAAATTACATTTTTTATTCAAGGCCCACATTAACTTTTGATTATATGTTGAGTGTTTGGATTTAAATATTTTAAAAAAAATTTTTAAATTAAATTTCTCTTAAAATTCGAATTGACTGTTTGAAACTTAAAAACTTTAATTTTAAATTGTTGTTGAAAATAAATGATATCAGACAATTTTAACTGCAACGAATAATGAAGAATACTATTCTTCTTACATACAGTAATTATAAGCGAAAACAATTTTGGTGAAAAATAGACTAATTCTTGTAATGGGTGGACGAGACGATAAGAAAGGTTATTACAAGGTTTTAGGGATTACAAGGTCCTTTTTAAGCTACCATAGTGGTCTGACAATAGAACTTCATTAAATGTATACTGTATTTAAATATTAAAATTAAAAAACGTGAAACTTAAAGCTTCTATATAAGCTGCTACTACACTGGTCTGACGATACGAATAGATATGAATTTCCACCGCCAAAATCTATAACGACTGAAATATAAATATACAACTTAAATATAAAAAACTAAGTAATATGTTATATATCATAATGATAACGTTAGACTACACATAAGTTCATGGCACTGCAGTAATTAAATTAAATTAGCTGAAAAGTTTTGATACATCTACCGTAGATTCAGTACATATTACCAACAGAAGATTACTATTTGCTTGGATCTCTGCAAGATACTCTTGCTGTCGTAATATTGACTTATGTTAGTTATATTGGCAAATATTTACAAAAAATGTATAATAATATATATTGTAACTTATAACAAAAATACGATAAATTTCAATGTAAATATATCTTATCTAAAACAGCATTAGAGATTGTGCAAAGTATATGAAAACTATTTAAACTAGTAACAATCTTAGACGAAATACTCGTAAAGTCATTAAGATAGCCTTAAAAACTTTATAGCATGTAAACTTGATTGCTTTAAACCAAATTATTGTTATGTGCATTGAATATATTTCGATAGTCATCGGAACGAAAGGTATTTTTATACTATGCTTTCTAACTAAATATGATAAATTGTCTAAAGTTCGAAGTACAAAAAAAGAAATGGTCGTTTACATCACGCATTTTAAAATGACAGACTGCAAGTCAGACTGATTGAATCGATCGTCGGATATATTGGTTTATTTTTTATTGTCAAAAAAAAATGTAAAACAAAATTTTAATTTCAAATATTCAATTATGCATGTATTGGTGTAGTTATAATAATTATTTTAATTAGTGTTGATTTATTATCAAAATAATTCATATCAGCGTATTTTGTAAGTGTTATTAAGTTCTTTATATTATAATTTTATATTTTTTTTAAGTGAACTTCAAATATTCTCACTCAATCTATGTCTGTTTTAGAATTAATATTATCAACAATATTTTCATATTTTAATAAAATTAGAAATTCACATAAATATATGCAGATAATGAACTGTTTGAATATTTGATGACCACGCGGCACTGATTTTAATAAATCCAGCACTTCACACATTATGCAAGAAGGGAATGAAATTAAATATTTTCACACTCACATAAAATTTTAAAATTCTTAAAATCTATTAGCTTTATCTATTTTTATTTTAATATTTTGTTAAATAATTAAAATTAAAATTTTTATTTTATACTTGATTAGCAACTAAAGTGCTAATATTGTATTATTGCTTAAATCTTTAATTCAAAATTGAATTAAAAAAAAATATATTTTATTATTTTCTGGATAACATATATTAAATATTAAGTAGCAGTTGCAATATGTAGTCCAGTTAGTTGCAGTAGTGATAACAATAATAAAAGATTTGTATGAGAATTAAACGTTTTATGTTAGATAAGATTTTTGTGCGACTTTTCTAACTCTTATCAATCAAAATTAATAAGCCATTATACAAATTTTATTATTTTTTATTATTTTAATTTCGCGACATAAATCAAAATTTATAATTTTAGATACACTCATATGACACAAACTTTTATACAGTTTTATAAAAGAATTATTTTTAAGCGGAATTAAAGATTTTTTTGTTAATTTAAAAAAAAAACTCGTAACGCAACTTCGTCATTTAGACAATATTATAACCAATAAAGGTATAAGACACAAAAAATTGAAGAAACACTTATTCCAAAAAAAAAAAACCGCAGCAAATGTTTGAAATACCATATATATACATATAAACGTACTTTGTATCTATTATAATCCAGTTTTTTAAACAAATTTTTTGATCGCCAACCGTTTAGTACGAAGCACAAAATCCAACTAAACTCAACTGCCAAGCAAACGCCGAAATTTGTTTTGGTTTTACGTATTCACAAATTACACACAGAAATCGAGAGATTAAGCGAAGCGATCGTTTCAGCGATTGTCTCCAGCTGTGACGCGATCTACACTTGATGAACGATAACGCACGTTTCCACCAGACATTCAGTTCATGTGACATTTGAAAATCCTTTCGAAGATATTCATTACTTACCAGCAATGCGTTTATTGGGAAAATGGAAAATACAAGAGCACTTAACAATATTAGATTGAAATTTTCTCTCATGAAGTTTTAGAACGAGTATTTTGAAATTTGATAAGAATCCATGCACTACTTTTTATTACTTAAGTTTGTTTTCATTTGTAACTACCATTTACTAACACAGTTTATTTTAAACTAATCAAAAATTTATTGAATATTTAAAATTATGTCATATGCCTATTAAATATCTCCAACCTTCGCAACAATAGTGCTGATAATTATTGAAAAGAAAAAATTAAAAACATATAAAAAGTGGAAATAACGTATCGTAAAAAAAATTAATGCAAAGATATATTTTACATACATAAGATCTTAAAATACATATACATATTAAGTATAAATATCTCAGTGTAGAAAAAAGTGCGTTTCACTGTTACTATATTATCTATAATAACTCTGAGATTTATTAAAATAATTACTAGATTATAATTTTGTTATTGTTGTTTATATTATGAAACTAACTCTTCAATTGAAGTCTCACATATTACAGATTTTTACTTTATTTAATATTTATTTAAATCAAAGTAATTGTTAACTTAGTACCAAGTTGGAAATTAATAGGGGTATTCACTCTCTCTTGTAAACTCATTGCAAGGAGCACGAAATGCAAGAATGCTATACAAAAACTGCGAGAACACCTCTGTTGCAGAATTGCATCATCAAAATGAATCAGCTGTTTTTGCAGCCGTATCAAATTGAGCAAAGAAAAATAAAAGTATAACAATGCCGCGAACAAGTGAAATACAAAAATGTATAGATTTTTTTATTGAAAATAGTGCTTTTAATATTCTGATTGAAGGTATTAACATGTTGTTAATGTAGTTTTCACTACTATATAGTTTCTATTTGTTAGATGATGCAAATTACTGGGAAGTGATGGAGCAATTAAATGAAGACCTTTTGTTTACTTTAGTAAACCATCACAGAAATCACCAACCCGTACCAAAATCTATTCAATGGAGATCTACCATTCTTCAAGAATTTGATGAAGGCCGTTTTTGTCAGATGCTTAGAGTAAATTGGAACGTATTTTCCTTAATAGTCTCACTAATAAACTATTAAGGATTGCTATTGTTTTATATCGTTTGGGTTCATCAGGCGAAAATGCGGCTATTCGTAAAGTCGCTACATTATTTGTTGTTGGAGATATATGTAATAATAATATAATATAAAAATAATTGTTATAATAAAAATATAACTAATTCTTAATTTATTATTGTTATTTGTTATATTTTTTATCGAGGGGGGTAGTGGGGCTTTGCACAGCAGAACGCACGACTTTCGGTGCAGAGCTGGATGATGTGTTGTCTGCAGACGATTCAATAAAAAAAACTTCGTTGCCTAGCGCAGAACTAGTTGGTGGCTATGGCAATGTTTCCGTACAAAATTAGACATGCGTCCAAACACTTCATTCAATAGTTCAAAATGTGAACAAATTTTCGTAAGTTTCGCTGAAATTGATAAATAGATAAATTAATTCACAAATGTATATGTATATAATATTATATTTGTGAAAACTTAATTAATGGTCACATCGATTTAAATTATTGAACGAAACGCATGTATATAGCATAGCCATAGATTAACATATCTCGAAATTTTACTAACAGTCAATTCAAATTTAAAAATGAGAAGCAACAAATGACAAAACAGCTGATTTCCGCCATTTCTGGTTTGTTGCAAGCAAATATACATAGGTTTTAGTATTGGAAGATTGCACGCAATTGCACGAAATTTTGTGCGTGTATTTTGTTGTTGTTATTTGCATTCTCGTACAATCTGTGCATTTCGTGCACCTTGCAATGAGTTTGCAAGAGAGAGTGAATACCCCTAATATTTTATTCAGTAACAAAAACAAACACTGATGTACCAAATATAGTGTACTCTAAATGAACAGTACACTAAAAACAGTCTGAAACAAATCAAACAATTTTTAAAGTACTATTTCGAATATATCATCTAAAATTTTTAATGTTCGCGTTGTGTTCTCTTCACCCAAGCCTGAATAACAAAACCAGACCCATCCCTCACCATTTCTTAACTGTTGTTTTTGTCTCAAAGACAAAAATAAAACGCGACTTTACTCGATAATGATATTTATTTATTTAATATTTATTGAAATGTTGATATAATTTTCTTGCAAACCTTCCTCCATTTTTCAATTTGTCCGAATGTCACTAGTTTCTTATGTTTTATTAAACATAAATCTATAAAAATTAACACCATTAGTAAAATTCTATATATATGTACATATATATAAAAATGCATTTGATTAATTATAATACATTTTTTCTAAAAAAGTCTTATTTTAAAAAACTAACTATAAATATAGGAGTAATTTTTCATTTTGCACAGTTATTTGTCAAATACGCAAATTAAAACACTACTTTATAACTTAGTAATTACTAGTTATTAGCTTTAATAACTATGAAATCATAATCATTTCCATTTTTGAAATCTAGAGTTACCATATTAAGTATTTGACGCATAATGGCTTGTTTGCTTATTTAATAAAAACTTCGTGTATTTCTTTTGACACTGGTAAACATGATTTTCGTACCATTTACGGCGAAAATCTTCTTCAATTTCAAGCAATGTACGTCCTCGAGTCTCTGGCAAAAAGAGATATACAAATATTGTAGCTAAAAAGGCCATCACACCATAAACCACAAAACAATATTTATTGCCAATTGCTTCCTTCATAAATGGATAAGTTTTGATACAGACAAATGACAAAAATAAACCCACAGCTACGGTTATTCCAGAAGCAGGACCACGTACTTGTTGTGGAAATAGTTCTGAGATCATAAAAAATGGCAGTGTATATAAACCGAGTGTGCTAAGCATTATAAACCCTACAAGTGTTATGACAGGCAGAAGTGGCACCTTGTTTAACCACTCACACCAGCTTTGGGCAGCTAAAAGAAACATACAGCAACACATTCCTATTGCTGATATTATGCCAGAACGTCTTCGACCTAATTTTTCTAAAATTATTCCCATTGGTAAAATACTCAATACACGTGTAACTCCAATAAGTACAGCACATAAAACTGGATCTATTGTGACACCAGCTTCTGTTGAAATTTGAACTGCATAAACGATTATCACTAAAACACCAGTTGCCTGTTGGAAAGCTAGAAACGTTATTAGAATTAGTAAGGGTTTATACACCTCGGGTAATTTCAATGAACGGAAAAATGATGGATTTTGTCCTCCCACATCTAATTGTATTGAATTTTTTAAAATATTAAATTCTACTTCAACTTCTGTATTTGTAATTAAAGCTATAAATAATCAAATTTCATTAATATATGAGCTGTTTTGAAAGCAATTTGAATTATTTACCAGACTTTTCCAACCCTCTAAAATAATTCATGGATGCCTTTGCCTCTGCAATACGTCCTTTAGAAATCAACCAACTAGGAGTTTCTGGCATTGGTATAACACAGAGTAAAGAAACAATTTGATAACCACTACATATCAAAGCAATTAATTGCCAGTCATGACGTATGAAGAATCCTAATAAATAAATTAATGTAATACCAGAGGCTACAGCAATCGATGTGCCCAATATAAGCCGACCACGTATTTTGGGCATACTTATTTCTGCTGCATATACTCCTACCGGAGCACCAGACATACCATTTGATAAACCTTTAGTTAAAATCTGTTTTTATTAGTTTTTAATTTAATTTCATATATGTACAATTACCTATAACAAATCGTGACATCATTATCATCAAATAGGCAGTTTCAGTACTGAATTGTATGGATAACGCCATCAGCATCCATGCAGTAATAGCCAATACATTGAGTGAGTATAAAGTACGCTTTCGTCCAAATCTATCTAGCAGCAGTGCGCAAAGCAATCCACCCATGGGACTTGAGAGCAAGTTTAAGGAAGCTATAAATGAATATATTTACATTTTGCAGAAAAAATAAAATAAAAATATTTTAAAATGTTAAATAAATAAAGGTGCTGTCTTATACAAAAGATATTTGTTGAATATTTTACGACCACTTTTACAATGCCTACTCGTATGTTTTGTAATAAAGTCTTAACATAAATTTAATAATTCGCAATGTAATTAAAAATTTAATTTTAAATTACATGTATACCAGAAGACATTTAATTATTTATTTAATAATTCTCAAAGTAATTAAGCGTTTAATAGTAGGTTACACACATGACAAAATGCTTGTTGTATGGTAGAGTAATTTAATATTTTTGTAGTAGTGTTAGTAAACATTTACCATATATATTTCATAAATACATTATTTTTTTATTTTAATATTAATATATTATATTAAATCTGTTAATTTTACGCTAATCTTGCTACTCTGGCAAAATATTTAAAGTGTTATAAATTAATCTCGAGTGTTATACATTTCGCTCGAGATTTGCCAATTGAAAATAAAAATTGCACTAAAAGTAAATCTAAAGTTATTTTAATATTATGGACAAAACTTGAATTAAAAAACAAATGATTGAATTAATTAAACAGATATATTGACCATAATTTTGAAAATAAATTTGTTGCAATAGTTATTAGGTATGTTTTTGAAACTTACCGAACCATGAATCTTGTTGTATTGTTAAGTGTATGGCTTCTTTGGGGTCTGTAAATTGTCTTAATGTAACTGTGGGTAAACCTAAGGCTATACCAAACGAAAGTATGCCAACATTACCGAGTATAACCATAAGTTCTTGACGTCGCACCGCACATTTCTGTTCACCTAATGGTTTTTCTGCATTAGTTCGCATAGATTGGAACTCATTCGGTTCATTTTTATTTTGTTCTTTCATTATTTTTCCTATTCGCAAGTACTAAATTGAAATGAAATTAATAATGTAATAATATTTAAATTTAAATTGATTTTAAAATAATCGGTCATTTTAAAAATAAGTGAAAATTCTCTTTTGCAATTGTGATTAAAAAAACAACCGTACGCTATTATATCAAATTTTTAACTATTATTGTTTTGTCCAATTTCGTTCTTAAATTCTAAATCTTACATACCAAGCAGTTTGAAAATGTTATTCCTTAATTAACTTGGGCTTTTCGACACTATTTAAATAATTCGTGTATACCTTTTCTTTTGTTTACACATATATTATTTTAAACTGATCCTTTTGTGTGTGGAAATACCCGATTTAATGATCTGCTTATGTTATATATTACAAGAAAATGTATTGCTTCAATACCTGCGCAAATGATTTCAACTTGAATTTTGATAAAAATTATAAAATAATATATAAATAACCATGGTTTGGTATTTTAATAAATATGGCGAGGACCTTCATGTTCAATTGACCAAATTGTTTTTAATTTATAATATTAACTAATGAATTTATAAATCATCGAAAAAACTTTTAGAGGAAAAATTTTATTGTAATATATAATTTTGTTAATGTTATTATATATTAAATAATCAAAATTATAGTAATAACAGAATATTATCAACTTGATTATATCCATTGTATGGTAATTATTATACATCTATATAATTATTATATATCTCAAGTTCATGAGTTGTATTGATCATGAGTTCTAATGTTCTAATGTTTTAGAACTACATCGGGTATTAAATGTAGTTTATATGACATATCATTAGGATGTAACCATTTTCTCCGAAGGAATTGTTCTTCGATTATTAACTGTATAGTGTTAGAGCATATATTATAAAATCCAAATTATTGATTTATTTAACAAATGTTATCAATACACGGAACTGGGTTATTAGATAATTATGTATTCACTCATTTTAGAAAATATAAATTCTAGAAATTTATATAAAACTAATCTGCTGTTAGTCGCAATATATTATGTTTTTGTAACCAAGGTCTCAAAGGCATGGTTTGTGCTATCCGTAGACATGTAATGACTTACAAAACTTGATAGTTACACAGTTCCATGATCATTCAAGAGCATCAAATAATTGGAATCTTTTACATAACTATATAATTCTAGCAGTTGTCTTAAATTTAACTCGCAAAATATGATACAATCTGCAGCGGTTAAGTGTCAAGATACAGTGATATTGCATGAAATAAAAAGATAGGTAGAATAAGTAAGCGTACAATTAAATTCAATACTTAAACTGATCTGATGAAAAGCAGAATAAAGCATTAATTATTAGTTTAATTAATTAATGATTAACTGAATAGTTTCATTTAATTATAATTATTCATAGTATAATTCTCATAATTCTCATATTCATGGATTGTATTCCATTCCATTTCAATTAAATACGATTCCATAAATCGTATAGAAAATAAAAATAGAATTAAAGAAGATATTTGAACATGCAATAGTGTGCATGTGTTTACTGTTTAATGCAAGAGTAAGAAAACAGTCATTATCTATAAAGATAGTGAGTACTATCTTGTAGCACTTATTAATAATGTTACCACAATTAACTAATGCAACTCTAAACGTTAACTTAAACTCAATTCTAAAATAAGTGACTCTCTTAGAAATTCATAAATTAAATACTGTTTTGAAGATGTATGTAGATATAAAAGAAGTTTAGAAATAATTCTGAAATCAGGGGAAAACATTGATATGGAACTTCAGGAACTTCAGAATTTAATATTTTCTTAAACCAATTTTTTTAAATTACATTTAACAAAAAGTTGTATATTGTGAGAGAATGCAAGAGCACACGACCATGTAAGTAATCCTCTCTTTAAGTTAAATACTTCACATTTTGATAAGAGTTCATAAACATATTATTTTTTATTTTATTTTTTTTTTTACATTTGTAAATTAGTAATTTATTGATGCAGTAAAAATACTGCTCCAGATACAGTTAAGTATCTTCAACCTTCGTAACAACTTTGTTGATAATTATTGGAAAAAAAGTAGAGTAATAAAAGTAAAGTATTGTAAAAATCGTATATACTATTTACAAAAGAAATAATGTAATCAAAGTATAATCTTGTATATAATTTATTTAATCAATTGGACAATAAATTATGTAGCCGAGAAAAAAAAGGAAATGGATAAATAGTATAATTGATCCGTAAAAAATATTATTTTAAAAATTCATTAAAATTTTTCATTTTTTTCAAAAATATGAAATATGTTTTTAAAAAACAAATCTTTGAAATAAAATTTAAACAATAATCTAAAATATTTCTGATATTTATAACATAAAAAGGGTCGTAAATGTTTTAAACTAATATAACGCTTTAACAAATATTTTAATTTCACTTCTAGCCAATATCCTTTAATTTCACTCCAAATTTTCGCATAAAGTCGCAGTTCGATTTCAATTTGGCTTATCCATTTGTTCCGTGGACATCCGGATCTTCTGCTACCCTGAGAGTTGTATTCAAGACTTTTTAAGTGATATCTCCATTATCCGAGTTGTCACATTATCAGTTATTGAAAGTTGGTCATTTTCTAACCATAACATGGTGTTAAATATTATCTTAAATTAAAACACTGATATAATGAAGACTGTATTTAATAAAACCTTACGGAGAGTTGATTTCATTAATAAAATAACTATGTATGAAATAAATAATTCCTGGACTTAGTATCAAAAAATCGTCAGGATAGATATATTAGGATTCCTCCTGATGAAGTCAAAAGCTAATTTGCCGAAATGCTTATAGAAATATACTAAAATAAACGCCCGAAATAAAAGATGAATCCTAAAAAAACAAAAACGACTATACTTTAGAATCAATAACATTGAGCCACACAAAGAGAACAACAAAAAGTAACTTTTTTTAATTAGAAATAGTTTGAAGTCACTTTATAAAAAAACTCAAAAAATTACTTGTTAGTTTTTTATTTTTAGAATATTTTACAATTTATTTTTATTTTATAGAAAATAATTATATGAAGTAAATTAAAAAACTACGAAATGGGGTTTTTATTTGTTCTCAGAAAACCCTATTGTCAGTTATTAACTTTGATAACAAATTAAAATTTAATATTGTAACTTTTAATCACTATGATAATAACATTAAACTAGAATAAATATATTCATGAGTCAATAAATATGTAGTAATATTTTGAAAATAATTATAAACACGATTTCTAATTCACTTGATTAATTGGTAAGTGAAAGTATATCAGTTATTTATAATAATAGCAAACAAATGCCATCAATTATTTAATCAATCACTCTAAAAAAATGTTAACTTAAATTTAGAACAAAAACCAATGATGTAATATTTTCACACAACGCATATATCTTATAATCCATAATTCTTTTTTTTAAGCAAAAATTTCGAATTTTAATCAAATATTAAAAAAAAATATATGAGCTTTAATTTTATAAGCTTTTCCTCTGAAATTTATAGAAAGTCAAGTAAGTAAAATACATAAATACTATGATGTATTTCGTATCACAAATTTATCTTTGAATTAATACTATCAACCGTCTGCGTTCAGAAACTTCTGGATTTCATTGATAACAATTTTCACGACCTCTTCCAAAATGTTGAATAGCCAGAGCAGACTTGAATGTTGCGAGTAGGAGAGCTCAGGGAAAGCAGAAGGTAGAATATGTACAGTAAAAGTGAAGAATAACATCCTTTCCCTCTGGTTGGATGCTGCTGTAAAAGAAAAGGCTCAGTTAGACGGTAGGTAACTTCTAACGTTCAAAGCGAAATGCACAACCAACCAAACGAAATAAGCAAAGTTCATCTTTGTATTAAGTATTGTAAAGAAATTTCATTTTGGCGCACTGCTCTCCTACAGGTCAAAACCCAGTATTTACTACAGTTATATTGTTTCAAGTAGTTCAAGCAATCTCAAGTAAGTTAACTGCTCTGACGAAACCAGTGGAAACATACTAGTAGTCTCAAGATATCCTTTCCATTTCTATTCATCAGTAATAAATTTTGATTTCGATTGTAATGAGGCTAAAGTAACCAGCTTGTTTTGCAGAATTGTCCATCTACAATTCAATATTTGAATAAATTTGGCTTAAATGACTCTTTTGATAACATTTAGTGGTGTAAATATCTGTTATATAATACCTTCATATGTGGCAGATCCTTTCCTCTTGAATTCGTCTGCATTTTTGTTTTCCCCTATATTCTGGTTCCGGTAACATTATGACGTTTGCTTTAGTTGTTTCTGCTTTGCTTCACTCAGCAGGAGGTTATAACTGAGTGTAGTACTTGAATTGCAGCGTACTATTGGGTAGAATAGCGAAGTTTCTTGTGAATATAAGATCTATTTTATATACTTCCCCATGTGCAAACATATACTCTTGGAATATGCTGAGTGAGCACAATAGTTTGACTTCAACAACTATCTGTATGTACTTTATTTATCACTATACTTATAAATACTTAGTACTATTAGCAAAACCTATTTCAAAACATTTGCATTTTTCAAAATTTCACAATTCCAACATGCATAGGTCATTTGATAACGATTTTTAGTAGAGTCAACTAATTTAGGCAATTTTTTCCACTACCCTATTTTTCCATATAATACTTTATTTTCTTGATACCGAGGCTTAAAGTTGTAAATGTTTCAATTGATTACGTTACAAATAACAATATGGAATTGATGGTTTTCATGTACAAATTTTTAACTCTAAAAACTAACCTATATTGACATATAGCATAGTGGAAAACTTTGCTCTAAATAAATGTCTTTGTAAACATCCATTGACAAACACCGAAATCGAAATCGTACCGCCGTGTTTTTTTTTATTAAACTCTATTGTTAAAATAAAACATATTTCTCTGCAGTACTCTTTTGCTATCTGTACTTAGATTTTATTTAATGGAGCCCAAATCTGATGAAACGATGAAACATAGTACATTTCCACTTTTCAAATAATTGATGAAAG